CGCGATTCTCAGGGGCCTAGTTCAGCACCTTCAGAGGGCCAACATCATCAAGCGCACCTGTTTCAACGCCAACGAAGCCGATAAGCAGCCGCGTTTTTTCCAGCACTCGAACACAGTCGCCGAGCTAGCCGAGAACTGCGCGCCGCACGTGGTCGACGGTTTCATGCAATCTATCGCCGAGGACAACATGAGCATTGCATTGCACCCCGCGCTCGACGATCGATGAGGGGATGGGGGGCGCGGCGGAAGGCGACGGCCTTGGACCCGAGCTCGGAGAACCTAGCCTACAACAAGACGGAGTTGAAGATGCGCCGGGCACCGAAACCATGGAGGCCCCATCGCCTCGCCAAGAACCTCTAATTTTACGAGCTCACAATAATATGGGGCATCCGGAACTTCGTGAATTCATTCGGGTTCTTCGGCGCGGACGGCTTTTTCATTTCAATGTTACCATCGGCACGGCGTCACTTCGTTTGCCCGGCTTGCGAATTCAACAAGCGTCCCACGGCGCGACAACCGGCGGCGGCTTTGCGGTCGTTTCGGTTCAACTATTTTGCCGGTTGCGATACGTTTACAGTCATGGCGGTGCTTGTTTTGGAGTTCGCTTTTGTACATGCGATTTGCTGGGCCACTAATTACCAGATTGTGGAGCGCGTCTCTGGATCTACTACAGCTCATGCTACCTGGGAGGCAGTTCAGCGGACATGGTACCGTTATTATGGACCACCACGCATTCTCGTCGTGGACCAGGGTACGGAGTTCAACGCCGAGTTTCAGGACAGAGCTCGCGAGCACGCCACTCGCGCGCGCGTCATCAACTCGAGGTCTCCATGGGGAAATGGCAAGACCGAGCGCCACGGAGCATGGTGGAAGAGCATCTGTCAGAAGTCCGAGTCCATCGAGCCGTGTAACAACACGTCGAAGGTGGATATGCTGGCCGATTTCGTCGCGCAGGCGACGAACAGGTTCACGAACAGGAGTGGTGACAGCCCGGATCAGCGAGTGTTTGGCGAAGACTTGCGATTGTCAGGGTGTCTGCTCAGCGACGACGTTATTAGTCCGGAGATGCTCAGTACTACGCCGTCAGTTGAGTACCAGCGAGCTCAGGCTATGAGGCAGGCCGCAATGCAGTCAGCAGTCAGCCTCAGCGATCAGCAGACGTTGCAGAAGGCACTCATGAGCAGGATGCGGAAGGAGCAAGAGACTCAAGGATGGCAAGATAGTTTCCATATGGAGGCGAGCTTCAGTTCGACAACCTGACGGAAGCATCGACTACAAGGTGGGTTGGAGTGGACCAGCAACTGTCATCTCAACGACTCAGAATGGTTCTACCGCATGTGCATACATGCGTAGAGTTGTCTTCAAGTGCGCGAGGATCCAGGTCAGAGCCGCGACTGACGAGGAGAGTTCGGGAGCAGAGATCGTCAACGAGTTGCTCTTCGGACTCAAGGAGAAGCTCGTTCAGTGCATCAGCAGCGGAGTTCAGGGGCATCAGTGGTGAATGCGAGCCGCCGCAGGAGGACGATGTCGTCGACGCGGACCCACCGCAACAAGCGCCACCGCCAGATGGCGCCGAGGAAGACGGAGGATCTTCGCGACAGAGCAGCGCACAACCAGACAGCGAACCTCGGGCACCGGCGTCGAGCGATGGACATTCCCGTCGTAGAACCGTCGTCATGGCAGAAGATGAAGCTACAGGTGCACCGCCAAGGAGCAGGCCGAGGAACGACGACATGGAGCTGGGCCTTCAGCGATTACCATCGTCAAGTTCAGGACGCACCGCTGCCGGTACGAGAACGCCACGGCCAGCGCCGCCTGGGTTTACCGAGCCGAGCGTCTTCTGGCAGCAGCCGGACCCCGACGAACAGTTCGTGGAGGTCTGCGATTTCACGAACGGCGCCTACACGAATTACAATGACGCGGAGAAGAGCGACTTGATCGCGATGGACGAGGCGTGGAACTACTGACGTTTGAATGGTGGGCCGCGGAGACAAGTTATTTTTTTCAACAATGACAAGCACGTTGCGTTCAGTATTCAGGATTCGTGGGTTTGTCTCAGTTGCCGAGGTAACTTCTACTTCATGAAGGCTAAGTCCGAGGCGGCAGAGCTCAAGCACAACGCGATCAGCGATGGCGGCTGGCCAGAGTTCAATGCAGCCATTGTTGTTGGCACCAAGGCAGTTGTTGGCATCGAGGCCGTCACTATCACTGCGCCAGCCGAAGCCAAGAATATCAGGAAGGACAAAGGCGAACGGATCATTACCAGCAGGATGGTACTACGGCGGAAGCCGGGTGTGGCAGCCAAGGCAAGATGGGCGGCCCGGCACGTGGTTTCAAGGGTCCCGATATCATGGAGATCGAACAGCGTTGCCCAGCACCACAAGCGGTTACGCTCCACATCGCCATGCAGGCGATATCGTCGAGGAGGTTCGAGGCCAATGTCGGCGGCGTCACTGCCGCATCATGCAAGGGGAACCTATCAAGATGACCAAGCCACTCTACGCCGAGCCAACACCTGGTGGTCATCTGGAGTCACTTGGAGTATCGCCCTGTAGTCTCATCCGATGGAGCGAGAAGTTTATGGACTTGTCAGTGGCATGGCCGCCTGGCGCAGTACGATGGCCGACCGGCTCAGCAGGCTCCACTATCGCATGATCATATACGATCCGTGTTTGTCGCGTCTCTTCAACGACAACCAGCACAACGGCTGCGACGACCATATTCCGCAGGGCATTGTGGTTTTAGAGGTTGACGACACATTGCCCGGAGGCAACGAGAAGCACATTGACCAGATGAATCAGCTAATGGGCATGATCGAGTTTGGTCACTGGCACAACCAATTCCGAGATGGACCATATTCGTTCGCCGGGAGGCGTTTTTCTCAAGAGAGAAAAATTTTGGCTCGCGCATCGACATGGGGCGATATATCAACGAGAAACACAATCCGATCGAGCTCAAGCGTGGGCGACTTGCAGACCCAAGGTCTGGGCCATCAGATGGAGAGAGGTCAACTCCGCGCAGTCATTTGTGGCATTGGCGCTTCATTGTTGCAGAGTGTATTGTGTGGTGCCGTGATGAAGGATATTCCCGACGCCAACTCCGCAGTTCGACGTCTCAGGGCAGATGCAGCTCTTGGCCCGCCTATCGCACCAGTCCCGCCGGGCGAGGCCAGGGGCGCCAGCGTCAGCGACGGCAGGTTCGACGCGGACAAGGAGACGGGGGCATCGCAGGGCGGATTCCTAGTGGGCGTTAACACGAAGGCGCTCAATGATAATGAAGAGGCACCGCTCAGCATCATCAGCCGGGTGAATCGCAAGATCAAGCGCGTCGTGGGTAGCGCCATGGCGGCGGGGAGTTTTAGTTTCAGTGACGCGTTGGCCGAGGCAGAATGGGCATGGTCCCTCTAGCAGGAGACGACGTGGAGCGATTTTGATGCAGTTTCGCGGCGAAGGACTTCGATTCCAGAACGTGAGGACCGAGCAGTTGCAGTGCTCAAGAGTGACAGCGCGATTTCTGTGGATCCGAGTATTGTGGGCGTTGTTGACGCCAAGTCGCTGTTCGACAACCTGGTGAAGGGGGCGACAGGAGGCAATGATCGTAAGGTTGCGCTCGAGCTGTGTGTTCACAGGCAGTCTATGCGTTCTCCTGGTTGCAGGGCCAGATGGGTTCAGCGCCATTGTATGCCGGCAGATGCTTTTACACAGAGATCGCCCAACACTGCAGTTTTAAGCAGATTGATGCGCACAGGGCGATACCGTATATTTGATGAACAGGGTGAATTGCAGAAGCGAGTTGCCGAGAAGGCTAAGCGTGGGTTTGTGCCGCGGCCGCGCAAGCGAGAGCAGCTCAACCGGCAGTCGACAGGATGTGCTGTAACTCCGACGAAGTTTTCGGTATAGAAAGCTGTTGTCACTTTATATGTTCGGCTTCGCACACAGGCGAATATCCATATCAGCCTTGTCTCTATTCCTTTTTATTTCGCACGTTGGCGAATGTCATATCTGTTTGACTTATATGTTATTTGATTCCGCATGATAGCGAATATGCGCACGCAGTGGCCAAATACTTCCTTGAGGGCTGTGGTTTCTGTGCTCATGAGGCCTAATGATTGTATGCAGGCCCATGTTGGCCACAGTCGTTTCGACTCGCATTGGCGTTTCGTTCCGTAGCCGGCTTGGGTCATATGATTGCGCAGTGGAGAAGATTCCGCGGTTCTTATTTCCGACCTTATAGATTTCTCACATCCTCCTCCTCCTCCTCCTCCTCCTCCTCCTCCTCCTGCGGGAGCGGGAGCGGGAGCGGGAGCGGCTCGACGCGCCCCCTCCTACTCGCGGCCGTCCTCCTCCTCCTCCTCCTCCTCCTCCTCCTCCTCTTCCTCCTCCTCCTTCTCTTCCTCCTCCTCCTCCACTTCTCCTCCTCGTCCTCCTCCTCTTCCTCTCCCTCCTCTTTCACTCCTGCGTTGTTTCGCACGTGGCCCCCAAAAATCTGGACCCCTTTCCGGGGGCGGGCTTTTATACCGAGACGGCCCTGGGGCTCAGCGGTTGCCCCCGGAGGCGGACAATTGCCGAAAACCTTCCGCCGCGATTTTTCCACGACGCGAGGATTCAGGGCCTGTGGCGTCAAGCATGAGTCCTGGACCTCTTCTGGCTCTTCTGGGGAGCGTTCTGGCCAGAATTTCCGGGCGGATCCAGCCGCGGCGACGAGGAGCCCCCTGGAGGCCCGAGACAGGAAAAGCATCAAAGGTCGAAGCTCGAACCTTCGGCCTTCGATGTTTGACCGCCGCCGCTCAGCTGCGGTCGGCGGCGGCTGGCGGGACCTCCCGCCGAGCGGCGCCTGGCCGCAGCTCCTCCGCCGGGGAGGCGCTGGCGCCTTCTCGAGCCTCGGGCTTGCGCGGGTCGAACTTCGAGCTCTCCAATTGCGAACTTTCGCGCAAAAGCCAAGGGTCGACCTCGATCCTCGAACCTCGAACCTCCGTGCGCCCCCTTGTCGAGCCGCGCCAGGCCAGCAGCCGCCCCCTTCGACTCCGCGGCGCACCTGGTCGTTGTCGTCCAGCAAACGGGATCCGCGGACTTCGGAGCTGCTGAAGGCCCGCCTGGCCTCAACAGCCTGTCAGTCTTCTCGTCCGGCGCCGGTGGCCAAGGCCATCGTTCGAGGACGAAAAAGCGCCATTCACATAATTTTTTGGCGCTGCGCGCGGGTTTCTTGGATCCGCGCCTGGGCCCCCGGGCGGCGCCTCTTGCGCCGCCCCTGGAGCGCTCCGCGCGCCAGGGAAGGGGGCCCAGCACGGATCCAAGAAATCCGCGCGGAACGCCAAAAGTTTATGTTTATGCCGTTCTTTCTTGTTGTAATCGTCGGGGCTTAAGAGACGGGGGTCAGTGCAAATGGGGTCAGCCAGAGAGCCAGAACGTGCAGGATCCTGCGGAGCCAGGAACGCACTTACCCAGGCCAGCGAGCAGGATCCTGTTGGATCCTGCAAAGCTTGAGTGACCCCGGTTGGCATTGACCCCGGTCAGTGCGTCCCCAAAGTCTTCTCATTTGGCGCCCGTGGCCAAGGCAAGGCTATCGTCAGGGTCCTTCATCGGGGGGGCGAGGGTACGGAAACAACTGACGGGTACAAAGTTCAGCGGCAGCTCTTCTGAATTATGAGCAGGATCCGTTTTCGGCGTCGCCCCGGCCGTTGACCATTTGAGACACAAGCTCGCCTGCCAAACACTGGCCGCTTTCGGTGTTGGACAACACCGTGTGGTCGTGCATCCCTCCCACTTTGTCCGCATCCACTTCGGGCGTCCAAACTCTAAACCAAGACGCTCGTATACAGGATGCTAATCTCATTTGGACCGTAGACGCGCTAACGGTGTGGTAGCTCACGGCGAAGTAGGACATCCAATTGCAGGAAAGCGCGGTTCGTGGCCAAACCACTTGTAGGAACACGTGGTTCGTGTTTTCCTACAACTCGCTGTGTCGTTCTCGTTCGGTACAACTGCGTATTTGACATGTAGGAAAAGGTGTTCCGTGATTTCCTACATTGTGTTTTGCGTGGGCTCGGTGTCACGAAAACAATATTCCCAACCGCACCGTTAACCAAGCACGCCGTCAGCGCGGCCTGGTGGGGGTTGGAGAGAACGGCGGGCGGAGCATGTTTCGAACCGCGGCTGCAGTTTTCCCGGCGCGCGCCGAGGCCCTGGTTTGCCAGCGTCCCGAAGTAGCGGTCCTTGACCATCGACGCCCTGTCGGCGGCCATCGGTCGCCACGAATCGAATAACAATAATAACAACAACAATATTGGCAGTAACAATATTCATACTTATTAGATTGAGAATAATCATCGGATGCGTTAGTACTAATACTCCTCATCATCAGCATCATCAGCAGCAGCATCAGCATCATGATCATCAGCATCATGATCATCAGCATCAGCATCAACATCAACATCATCTTAATAATAATCCTACTAACACGGATAATCACAATCATCAGCAGCAGCATTTTCAGCATCATCAGCAGCAGCAGCATCATCACACTTTAAACAAGAGTAATAATAGTAATACTACGGTGGGGACGATCGTGAAGGAGTGTGCCAAGGAAGCCTAAGACCCTGGGAAATTCCCCACCTGGTGAGGGCGGCGGAGGTATCCATGGCCAACCTCAACTGGCGATCTGGCGCGGGAAGTGTCGCAGACGATGATCCCGATCAGCAAGCAGATGGCGCAATTCGGCGCCTCACTGGCCAGCTGGAGGCCGCGCGGTCCCACATCAGGGCTCTGGAGAAGAAGCTGGCGAACATCAGGGAACCGCTGACCGACGAGGTACAGCAGAGGGTGCAGCTCCAAATTGTCCCAGTGCTGAAAGCCAAACTCGACATGGAGGTGGACCCGCTGGCGGAGAGAAGGCGCAACGCGGCATCCCACGTCTTCGGCGTGACGGCGGGTGATATCGCGACAGCGTCGCTTCGGCAGCTGAGCGCCTGGCAGCGCGGCGGCAGGGAGTGCGATGCGGTCGTGCCGAGGTTCGTCCCCGACGGTATCGCCGAGGAGGAGCACGAATGGCAGGACCTCGCGGAGGAACCGCCGGAGTTTTCGCCAGGTGCTTGGTACCAGCACGACCTTTTTTCGGAGGCTTGCGCCTTCGGATAAGGCGTGGCGGCAGGCTGGAAGCTTGCGAACTGCCAGGCTGAGGAGTCGAGCAGTTCCGCGCGGCACCCGGTGGAGATGCCGTCCGTGGGCTTTTCCGCGCGGCCCGTCGGCCAGGTGCTCGGCGACAGCAAAACCGAGGTCGACACCGCCGCCCACGTTTCAGAGGAGCTGGCCTGGACATGGCCCACAGGGAGGTGCTGGAGCATGCTGCGGGAGTGGGCCAGGCCAGGCCTTTTTTGCGCGGCGCCGGGAGCGCGTTGGGCCCGAGCCACTCGGGCCGCCGTGGCCGAGCTCCAGCGGCTCCTCGCGGAGGCAGGGGAGACCCTGTCGACACGGCCGCACTCGCGGCTGCCCGCGGAAGCGCCGG